ACTGCGGCCAATCGATGATGATATGTACGACCATGCGGAAAATTTCTGCCGTCACCGAGACAATGCGGAAAGTTTATAACGTTCGGAATCATCGGCGAAATAAATCGTGAAACGGAAACTGTCTATATATATATATGTTCCTATTTATATCGATTTCCCGCGAAAAGGGAGTCTCGCGCCTGACTTTGCTAATGACTTTGAGGAGAGGGTACCGCAGGTACACTACCGGCCAAAAGTTTGGAATCACTGAGCATTGCAATTTAGACAAAAATTTCTAGAAAAAAGTCTGCGACTTTGAGAATTTTTTATCGTTCGAATCAATTGATATGAGATAAATTGATAAATGTAGAATTGAGATAAACTTGAAATCTATAAAAAATTAGCAGCAGATTTAATATCGATGAAAAGTGGGAGGTGATTCCAAACTTTTGGCTGGTAGTGTATATAAGAGCCCGCCGAGGTTCCGGAAAATCATTGAGGGTACTGAGATGGGAATAGGGTGCTCGATGGTTTCTAGCTAGCCTATATCCACACTCTACTACCTTCTCTCAAAATTTCTTCTACTTATTACTACACTTTGAATACTCTACTCTGAATTTTTGTTTTAATTTAATTAGAATCACTTCTCCAATTATTCAAACATATTAGAGAGTTAGTGTTAGGCATTGAATAATCTACTTCGAACGAATTATTTTAATTTTAGTGGTCGTTTTCTTCGTACTCTTTGTTTCTCTATCGCATCGAATTTTGAGATTTTGCTAATGAAAATTTGGACGTTTCAGTTATCCAATTAATGAAACACGTTTTCGTTACAGGTTATTTCTACATTTAATTTTCTTTCAGTTTTTCTAATATTTATTTATTCTTCTATGCTATTGAAAAGTGAATTTTGAATTTCTTTTATGCATTGTGATTTTCTGAACTGATAATTTACACGTATCCAAGGAATTGCATGATTTGCATGTTAAGTAGTTAGTTGAATTATTGTATTTTATATTGGGAGCTGATTTGAAACGAGCGCACTATACTCGTGCAACATGCCCACTCTTGATTAAACCGTCTCACTAGTTTACCGTAATTGAACATCTATTTTCGGGATTTATACGAGAATTTTTCAATTTTAGTAAATATTAGAGTCGTTGCATCGCGTATTGAAGTAATAGCTTCGTCCTTTGTTCGCTTATTATTGAATATTTTTACGCGTTTAACTTGATACTTCCTCCCAATTACCTTGGGATAAGTGTTATTTTTCAATTATTTTCCCCCGCATAGACGGAACAATTGACAAATAAACGGGGGAGGAGGCAAACAGTTTTGATGAAACAATGGACGCGTCGCGTCGGAAATTTAGAAACTGGACTGAGAAACTTGCTTTACGGCACGCGGAATAATTGAAGGGGTGGCCGCGGATGAACTTTTGCTATCGTATTGAAAAGCGCGCGCGCGGTATACTGTGCTCGTGACAAAATCGCGGAACAGGATGAAAAGTCGACGATATTGCGGACTTTTTATTCCGCGAATCTTTCGCACAATAGAATCACGCAAATTGCGGAAACAAGTGGGAAATTGAATGATCTCTTTTTTACCGTTTTTCACCGCCGCAGATCTCTGTTCGAGAGAGAATGACGCTCGTTTTGGAGGTGTTGGGGACGATGGATTACTCCAAGTTTAGGATACAATCGACACAATTTGCTAGTTTTCCGAATATTTGATTTTCTTTGGGGACATTTAGAAATGTCTGAAGTTTAGATCTTGTTCGTCTTTTTAAGCCTTTGGCTGCTTTGAAAATTTGTTCGAATTGTTCTGTCGGAGCATTTTGGCGCACTTCCATGTTAATTTAAGCCTTAATTCCATCCTCTGCACTCTTCCACGTTAATTCAACGAAACAAATTTAAAAATGAATAATTTTTTAAATTTTGCGACCGTTGTGGAACATTTGAACCTTCTAAGCTCGTTGTGCACTAAAATTTGCCGCAGCGAAAGGGTTAATAATACAAACATACCTCAAAAATTCCAATTAATTCACGAATTTTCAAACTAATTTTTCTCGAAAATGAAAGAACGTTACTACAGTTTTCCAGCCGTTTGTCCCACGATTTTGGAGACTACTGTAGTAGATAGAACTACACAGTGGAACCTGGATAAAAATTCCAGACTCTCTTCCGAGAATGACTATTTCAAGAATCCTACATCTTTCTACTCACGTCCTATTTCGAAGTATAGATCCACACGGCGTTTGATTTATTTAGCAACTAAGAACTAAGATTACCTGCAGTCCGGGAAATACGTTAACACACATATCGCCCGAAGTTAAACTCTCGCAGTTAGACCGAGTTTTGGAAAAGTAGCACAGAGTTCGCGCTACAAATCCGTTATGTCAAGTCAATTAACTTTTAAACTTTGTCACACTTCCCGCCATAACGAGGAGCCCGCCTTTATCGTAGATGGAACTTGATCTTCACGTCCTTTGTCGTTTTTTCTTGTTTAATTGAACTGTTACTAAAGTGTTCAACGTCGATGAGGTATCACTGTGTTTTAATGTTCACGAGTTATATTGATACGAAATGCTTTTAAAAAGATAAGAAACTTTTGACCACGTTTCAATCGTTTTTCTTCTTTATGATAATGTAAAAATGATCTGCACTGCTTATTGCCACGAATTCCCTTTGCAAATGTAATATATGCACTAAATTTAAAGTTCCATTCAAATTTTCCTCCGTTACTATAATTTTCGATAAATTAGAATTTCGAAATACGAAACGCTACAACTTCCAGAGATTTGTGTAAAAATTTCGACAGGTATCAGGACGGATTATTTTTCAACAAAACTCGCAATAATGCAACATTCGAAATTTTGCAAAAATAAGGATTAGTCCTAATTTTCAAAGTGGGATTATACGTTCCAACGTGTAATTACCGTAATTGGTCTCAACTATCCATCAGAACCGTGAAAAAATCCAGCCTGGAGTACCGAACAAAAGTAAATTACGGCGAAAGAAAAGCAAAAAAAAAAAAAAGACCGTAGCGAAGATACTTAAAAATGAGAAAAAGAGGATAGAAAGTTAATGGAAGCGTTATCTATGTACATGCAGTGCTTCGAACAAAATAGAGAAATCACAGCACGTTCACACTACATACACGCGTTTTTCCCTCCTTTTTCGATCCTTTTCTCCCCCGTGTTTCCTTTTTATATCGCGTCGGCAGAGAGGAAGGGTAGAAAGGGTTGGATAATACGGCAGGGCGAATTCTTTAAACGCATCTCGTTTGCTGGCATGCTTGTACGCGAAATTCGCAGATTTATGGAATCGTGGAGGCGCATAAGTAACGAAACGCATATTTAAAATTCTCTTCGCAGTACGTAAGCCGAGAATAACTCATGAACTGCAGAACGTCACCTCGGTTTAGAGAATGTTTGCCTACAGACAGTGTCCTCCGACGAAAAAGGATTAATTAACCTGAACGAACGGGAGCCGGCGAAGGAACATTTTCACCGTGACATAAATTCAGAACACACTTCACGTTTTCACGGTGCAAAGTAATCCATTCGTGTCTCGTGTAAACGATCGTTGCGTTTCATCCTCGTTTTTTTTTTTTTTTTTATTTTAATCTATCCGCTCGTTCGAGTTTCTTTTCGTAAATAGAAAGAGTTCGAAAAAAATCCAATTTTTGGACGGATTTTGTCGAAATCGATAAATTAAATTGTACAGATTAATATTGAAAAATTGTAAATGGAGTAGAATAATAACCTTGTCGAGGTAGTTTTTCTCCATCAGTTGGGTTTTAGGTAGAAATCATCATCCTTACCTGTAACATAAAATACAGACAGTGTTAGAGTATTAATTTATTGAGAAAAATGGTGAGAAAATTGGAGAATTATTTATTGAATATTCGCGACAGTGGTTTTTCGTGGAAATGATTAATAATAAAAGAAAGAAGAGTGTGTGATAGTGAGAAAATTGGAAATTCATATATTGAATATTCGTAGCAGTGATTTTTCGTGAAAATGATTAATGATAAAAGGAAGAAGAGTGTGTGATAGTGAGAAAATTGTGGATTTAAATATTGAATATTTGTGACAGTGGTTTTTCGTGGAAATGATTAATAATAAAAGGGAGAAGAGTGTGTTAAACGAATGGCTGATCACTCGGGAGCGGGAATTATTAAAAAGGGGAGAAGAATGTGTGAAACGCAAGTAGAAAGTCGGAATGCAAATCTCTTCATGGAACAGTTTGCCGTCGTAATTTTGAAACTTACCGAACTTCACTTCTTATCCGAATGTTACCGTGAAATATAAGGATCCTGAATACCCTGAAGGAAATAAGATCGAACCAGGTTCCGCCCCGTGATGTATGAACGAGAACCTTTATTATGCGAATTTTGACATGTTCGTAAAACGCAAGAAAAATAAAATGTTCGATTCGAGAAATATGACAGAAATGTCGTTCTGTTAAATGAACGAGCTTACTTTTTCCACGATCCATTCGTTCAAACGGAACTATAAATAAATTTGCTTCTGAATCGTATTCTAGAGTGCTGAAGAAACGTGTTGTAGAAAAAATTGGAGAAATAAAGTAATTAATGTGAAAATAATGGTAGAACAAAATTCTGTTCGTTGAAAAAACAAGTCTTGGAATTCTCTTTTATTTTGATAAAAATGAAAATTCACTCAGATTTTCTACTTTTTTTGTAGACATCTTCCAAAATTTAATAAATTTATTTTTTTTAAATAGCAAAATTCAAGGAATGCCAGATTTTCTAATCTTCTTCTGGATCTATCTTTCGAAATTTAATTAATTAATTCTTTTAAATAACAAAACTATTTTAGTCTAAATTATGCTTCATTCGTAAAGAAAGTCAAACATTTGCTTGACAGATTGAAACTCAAACTTAAGAAAAAATTGAATCTATGGAACTAGAATAATATTTAACTGTTTTTTTAACATGATTGCTTGATATATATGTTTTTAACACACTTTTCTCTAATAAAACAATTTATCTAGGTGTAAAGGATCGCTGGCTTACGTTCACTTGGCTTGTTTGGAAAGATGGTTGAACCAATCTTGTCGCTCTTATTGCGAACTGTGTCGTTATCACTACAATGTTGTCGAAACACCCCGTTATCGATGGTAAGCATTACATATTTCAGATTCTTTCAAATCTTCATTCTACGTGATTGAATTATTAAAAATATTTCTGCAAAATTTTTCTTACACTTCTGACCTATTTCTTAATACTCAAAATTCTAACAAAAAAGAACAGCATCGAGTAACAATTATTTAACAAATCACACAGTATTTAAATTATATTTCTATTTGCAATATGCATACACTAATATTGAAAGGAAAAATTAACTGATTTTACTTCGAGCACAATACAAGAAATTCAACTTGTTTTCGACTTGCATAGTGATCACTTTTATGGGAACCTTCAGGCCAGAATCGTTGAGGATATGGATTAGCCATCCGAGGAATCGTAGAAACGTACAGTCAGATTTGCTTATCTTCACATTACTTTCCGTCGTTACGGTGGGTTTGGTAACAGTATGTATCTTAGGTGAGTCAACTTACAATAACAGATAGCGAAACAACATCACACTGAAATTTCATTTAAAGGGCTACTCCCATTTGGAAACGTCATTTTCACGAGATACTTACGATAAAAAATTATTAAATAGTTATAAACCAAGAGACTTAAATTATTTAAAATTTTTCTACACTTAGCCTTCCTGTCACTTCCTTAAAATTACCATAATTTTGCAACTTCGTCCATTTCAAGCATAGAATTTGAATTTGTACTTGGAGAAAAAGCAATAAAAATGAAATAGATATTTTCACCCTCCAAATGGGTGTCAACTATAAAATTTCATTTCGTTCTCGAATAAAATTCTCACCTAGAGTGCGCATACTTATTATTAATGCAAAACAAAATACATTAACGTAGGCATGCAATATTTCGTGATCGAGGGGAAGAAAATTGGAATTTCGAATCTGTGGACCAGAGGAGCCATATGGTTTTTTCTCACGATCGTCGTGCTGGGTTACATCACAACGGTATATTTATTGGGAAAAGTAATTACATTTTTAATTCAGAGTGAAATCAAGTGGCAGATGACACTTTCATACCCGCCCGTTCCATCACTCTTCGACAAATTACCAAATATTCGTACGAAATTTCACACTCCACCCCCCCAAAAAAAAAGTGTCATCGTCTACTTTACACAGTGTTTCAAATTTTTTCCAAATCCATAAATATCACCATTCGAACACTTCCTCACTCGCACACCGAAGTCCTATAATCTGCCGTTGCTTATTACGGCGAGTATTCATGACATCTCTCGCACCGATTTATTACACAAGCTCAGAGGCGCCGCTTTAAATTACCATTCGCACTTTATCTCGTTTTGCTTTCGCATTCAACGGAGAGAGAACAACCCCTTCTCCTCGAGAAAGGCCAGAATTGTATAAGTATTAAACAGCAACAGCGTTGTAACGAAACGTATTTAACTCTTGTTTGCTACCTCTCCCAAGAGACGGATCGTGTTCTTGTAATTAACTGGCCGGCTGCCGCCGGTACACAGAGATTAACTCCGTAAGCAACCCGTAAATCTGATAATAAGTTCCCCGTTTGTCCCGCGGACAGAACGGGAACCGTGACACTCGATTTTCGAACGCATTAACGAGGAAAGTCGTAATTGTCTTGGCAAAACGTGTGCCTTTTTTCAACTTCTTCTCAGAGAAGAAGGAGAAGAGGAAGGAACATATACACCGTGCTTTCTGAAGTGTACCATTCTATTTCTCGTTCCAGCAGAGCCGTCGTAGCACGCTGTTTACGTTTATAGACAGCAATGTTAACTAAGTAATGCGGTTCGTAACAAGTTTCCTAAATGGCCACCGCGTAATCTCGAAAACTTCCGGGAGTTTTCTGTGTCAGCCACGAGCAGACTTTTTGCACGAATTTAAGGCATATTCTCGCCACGAGTAATCCCCTTAATGGCGCCCACAGCTCGCCCCTGCATTTTTCCTCCCCGCAACTTTAAATCCATCCGGTACATCCGCGTGGTGGTCAGACGACAACTCCGAGACTTTCGCCACCTTTGTGCCCTGACGCGCGGTCCGCCTCGTTTAAATACGCGGACATATCTCGCGAGACCCACCTCCGTGAGAATAATGGCCGTCGTTTCGCCGTCGTTTGACAAACATCTCGCGAGCAACTTCAATTTACTCTTATCTTTACCTCGTGGAGGCTAATTAAGAGAGAGGAGTATCGTCGCAACGATACTCTGTACTTTCAATTAAAATTCCCGGGAAAATCTTCTCCGGCTCGTTTTCCAGCGTTGGACGGTTCTTCGGGTTCGATGGAAATTTCATTGGGCAAAATTAAATGTGATTTTAAATTTAGCGTCGATTAGCGTGAAAGAGAAACTTTTCGTTAAGTTTCTGTAATTTATGTGTAGTGTATACATATTTTGCTGGAAACTTGTCAAAAAATGTGAGTATTTAAAAAAAAGTCGAATTTCAAGCGTTTCACTTTGTACTTTTAACTCGGCCTGTGATTTGTTGTGATTAATGAACTGTAAATTTCAGAACTTAACTTTGTAGGAAAATTCAGTTTCGTTTCAACTCTTTGTAGGAACAACTTTGTTCCGATCGTTACAATTTTAAAGCAGAGCAAAATAATTAGGTTACAAACTTGGAAAACCAGCATAGAAACTCGTCGAACATTGAAAACTACGAATGAGAGTATGAGAGTGGAATTCTGTCAAGATCAAGTGTCTCTAAATGGTACTCCCAGTTTCGTGAAGGGCGGGAAGTTTAGAAAGTGCGAACAAAAATTCCAGCTACAAACTTGAAACAAAATTTTCAAGCATTATATCACAGATGTGTCAAGTATACTCACATCCCAAGGGACTACTTTGCAAAACTCTGCTATCAGTGCTTCCTACATCTCTGCAATCCTCCAATTTTATCAGACCTCCTGTAACCTTCAAATTCGCAAACTAGAGCAAAATTGGAACAACGAACAAGCAGGAAGCTTCTCGTGCAACTTGAGTTCCTCAACGACAGTGGTATAAGTCGTGCCGCGAATGTGACTCGATATTTCAAGGCGAGAGGGGTCGAAAGACCTCTCTCTCGCTCTCTCTCTGCTCGGTAAACACAATTATCGCGAAACGAAGCGGGTTTCTGGAAAGCGGCAGCACGTTCCCGAATTCGTTTCCGCGCGAAGAACGAGCTCATTCCCCCGAGGTGAACGTACGCCGCGGCGCTTTATTCATGCTCGTTGTTACCCCGCGAAATTTCACGCGACTCTCGACGTATCGAGTGTTTCGTCGCCGCCGAGGAAAAATATCGCTACGAGTATATACGTATATACGTACCGGTGGAGCTGGAAGCTGCCCCAGGGTAGATCTGGGTCCCGGCAACATTTACGATCCGCCATGGCTGGCGACTGTCTTTTGCGGTTTATGTTTATGCGACACGATCCCGCCGACCCAGATAACAAGAGTTGCCTCCGAGCGGATACATTAAGCCGTGGCGCAAAGGTGAAACAGGTGAGCTCCAACGCTCGGCTGCGTGAATGCAACGCGTCAGCCAAGTGAGCCAGAACAAACGCACCGCGACACTCATTCCGGCTAAGGAAATAACGCAAAAGACAGACCGTGGGGCCAAGCGTCCGGCTCTTACTCTTTCGAAATGGAAAGACAGTCAGCTGGTTCATAAAGTTTTTCTCACACGCGATGAAAAATATATTTTTTGAAATTATTTCTTGGTGGAAGTGGAACGGGAGTTGCACTGCTGAAGAAGGGAAAAGGGAACGTGTTTGAGGTAGAGTGAGTTTGGTGAAGAGTGAGGAGTGTGACAATTCGATTTTTGTCAGTTTTGTGAGAGAAACGGGAGGAATTTGTGTTGCCGAAGTAATTCCTCGGCGCAACGATCACTGTTGACGAAGGAAAAAAGGAAAGTTTCTGTGACAGAGTGAATTTGGGACATGTTTGAATTTGAAGAGGAGTGTGGAGTGTGATAATTCGACTTTTGTCAGTTTTGGTGGGAATCTTTAATGTGCGGTTGGAAAAGTAGCAGAGTGATTAGGAGAAATGAGAAGAATTAGTGTTGCTGAAAACGAGGACTTTTCTGTGACAGAGTGAATTTAGGATGTATTTGAGTTTTATGGTTCAATTTTTGTTACTTTCCGTGGGAAGGATTAACATGCCCTTTGAACCGTAGTAGTGTAATTTGGAGAAATACAAGGGATTTGTGTCGTGTAGAATTTATTTGCTATGTGGAAGAAAAATTTAGCAAGAATTTATGTATATCATGTATAATTTTAATTTTTTAGTCTGAAATCATTTTGCAAGCATGAATTTCATTGTATACGAAAGGAAACTGTGAATGTATTCTTTAATCGATAAAAACTGTTTGAATCTATTTTTCGTCACATTCTTTGAACGAAAGGAAGCCGCAACCGTCGAAGTTATTGGAACATGAAAAAATTATATATAATACAATTAAAAAATTCCACAAGTCATCTTCACGAGGTCCAAAGGAAGAACGAATCTACAAGTTGCCTTTGCATGCTTCCCCAGAAACGTGAACGAACGTTAATAAAACTTGTCCCTCGATTAAACGTCAATAGTGAAATACGCGACTCGCTTTTTGAAAAAAAGTGAAAGAAAAACGTCGACGGGAGTTTCTAACTAGCGATTATGTCGAGGAAATACAATCGCTTTGAGGCAGAAGATTACACGTCAGCGTTTGACTATATTCCTTAAGCGGAGTCTCGTCCAAGTTGTCAAATCGACAAAGAAAAAACCGTGATATGATTACCCTGACTAGATCTACAGTAAAGTAATGAAGAATATGAAGAACAAAAAAAAAAAAAAGAAGAAGAAGAAGGAGAAGGGAAGGAAAAATGACAAGTTGAATTGAAAAAGGAGCAGCACGGTATTGAAAAGCTGGGGGAGAGCTAGCTGGGCTATAGCAGGAATCGCTAGCAGTTCCTTTCATCCTTTTGAACTTGCCTGCGGTTGATAAAGGTCGTAAAAATACAGCGAACACGCAACGGAAGTTCCCCTGTCACTTTATACATAACATTACATAGCTAACGTCCAATATTTCCTGATATTGCACACCGATATTTGATAAATTACAAGAAACGTAAAAACTCCTATCACAAGATAGGATACATAAATGTAAGAGACTGCACATCTGTTGCTCATTCGTCGGAAAATCTGAGTGCAGATTGCCTACTATTTTTCTTTAAATTAATCGCTGTATTTTCGCACAGATTACAATACAATATTTTTATATAATACAAATGTAAAAATGACTAGTCTCTCTTAACGCTAGGACCACCGACCTAAATAACCCGTTGGAATCTTTTGAAAAAGCGTGATTGTTCAATACTGGCGAGTATTATCGTTTCTAAGTTTCGAAATTTATTTTCCACGTGTATGCTTCTATCTGTATCGATACGAGTCGAATTTTCCAATCACGGTCTACTTACGTAAAAATTCACTTTTGAAAAGTCGCTAACGGGTCATTTTGACTCGGCTGGTGATTCTAGTGTTAATCATACGCGTACGTTAACGCACTGCTATCTTCATCTGCTGATTTCTCCCATGCCGCGCTTATCGTCGTGAAATATAATT